AAACTGTATACATATAAAAAATGCTCACTAGTCAATTAATAAGAAAAATTAATTGAGTTTTATGTGATCTAGTTAACTTGTATTTAATTATTGTTATAAATATACAATTATAAAGAAAAATATTCCCTGTCAATGATTTTTTTATGAGATATAATTTCCGCGAATAGAAAGAACTAATTAATTGTATATCTTTTTTTTCATTAGTACAGTTAAAGTTCGATTCTTTTTAAAAAAGTTCAAATTTATTACGTTTGCGTGAATTTTATTTAATGTGTTTTTGAAAATATGCAAAGAAACTTTAATTTATTACTGATAAGGTTTTGTGCATATTAGAATAGAAAATGATTTTTCTTAAAGGTCAGTGAATATAATACACTTAAATAAATAGGTTTTGTTTATTATTTTCATTTTACTCTTGACACAACACCTCGTTCTGTAATAAATCTATCAGGCACATTTTTTCTTTAAGTATATCATCCAATTTCCTGGTTAAAATTGCTTGTTCGCGTATAATCATTTGTTATTTTTACTTGGAGAGACATATGGTACTAGCACTGCACGAGGCAGATTGATATAAAGAAGACTAGACTCGAGAGTATGTTTTATTTGAACCTTTCTCAAGTCTTTATAAAAGTATATTTTCTGAACTACAAAAACAGAATTTTGTGTTTTTCTTAGGTGCTTTTGACAGCATTAAGTACTTATTTTATGGTTTAAGTAATATGAAAACATTTACTCAAAAGCTGTACTTATTTTAACTTGGGACAAAAATAAATATAGTTGTTACATAATCAATTATCATTTTTACAGTTGAAAAAAATATCGGTTNTGTCATTTTTACAGATGAAAAAAATATCGGTTTATTTATATTTAGTGGTAATAAAATCAAATGATAGAATAAAATTAAATTTCAACGGCTTAAAGATGTTAAGTGTTGACACTCGGCGATAATTTTCGACGAGTAATTAAACTGTATTGTTACGTGGAGCAGTTGGATTTGAGTCACTTTTAATTATTATATTAGTTGTGACAGGTTGGTACAAAAAGCCGTTAAAGTACTTACAATGAATGTTTTTTTTAATTATTTTTACGGTATTTATTCAAGTTAGTAAGTATATAACTTTCTGGAATTTATTTCATTAAAAAAAATTAAAATGAAAATTTATTAATTTAAACGGTAACGATTGATTGAATTTTTCGATTAATATTAAATGTTCAATATGATAAAATTAAAATTCTTAGAAAAATAACTGTTTTTGAAACGTCCGTTCATTCTATTGCTTAATTGCCTTTTTGTTCTTAAATGTTGGAAAACAATCGCAAAGTTCTGAATTGGCGGAATGGTTATTTTTTCGCAACTGTTGCGGTTACGGCCAATGTTTGTGTGTGTGCGTGTTAACGTCGACCGAGTTTCATCAGAGTTTAACTTGAAAATGACGGCCGTCACTTCCAACTGCAAATAAAATTTTTCACCTCTGAGTTAACGCAAAGTCACGGCGCAGTAGTTGAAATTGCAATTATGAGGCTAACTTGAACGCCTTTCCGCAGTACAAACCGTCATAAACTACCCCCAGCCGCCCCGTCGTCGTCCAAGTTCAAAGCCGTGCACGTGACACGTACGTGTGCAATTTATACACAACACGTACATTCGCATTAGCCGCACACTATCTCGAACTTTTTGTAGTAACAAACGAGAAAATTAATTTTTGTCCATTCCTTACGCTAGCGTAATGTGCGCCGCACACAAACTGCTCCGAGAACTGTACGCGGGCAATTTAACGTGTAACGGGTCGCCTGGTTTTTTGTCGGCCGTCGCTATGTAAATATTAATGCGAACGTATTAAAATGTGCGTCGAGAGTGCCGAAAAGCAGTAAATCATTTCGAATTTCCGACTCGTCGCATCCCAAACTCTCATAAGATTTAAAATCTCATACGTTCGACAAGGTTACGTTTGGGTGTTGTGGTCGCGGCAAAAACATCCGTTTTTATTCGATTCAAACACTCGAGTACTGTAATTAATAGATGAAAACAACAGTGACACGTCAATAAAATACTATGGAAAGTACAGTTCTGGTTGGCGATTAAATACATATAATGGGGCGAGACGTCAAACAGTCACCTCGGAGACTAAATTAAACGTATTATCCACTGGGTATACACAGCCTATTGTAATATAAATTTGCTACGAATATCAAACGAATATTTCTCCTATGGAATCGATAGTCTATTATTAAAGTAATTAATTTCCAACGAAATATTCTATGATGCGCGTTCTCATTAATTATTAACAAACGTTAGCACTGTCGACGGGATTGTTTCACAAACAAAATACATAATTTATTGGGCGCCGAAAAAAATAACTCGTCAAAAGTACACGAGGGAGTTGACAATAATGAGTTTTATTAAAAATCGACATTGCCGACAAAAGAACATATTTCCCGTACTAAACGCGAACCGTTTTAATCGAAAACGGAAGGGCGGTTTAGGCGCAGAACATAACCGTTTGTAATTGCGCATTTATCGCATTGACATTTGCACTGATAGATCGTTTAGTAGACCGTGAAAAAAAGAAACTAAAGGGCGCGGGGCTTTGGGATTGCGGGTTAAGTTTAAGCAAAGGAACACCGGCGTAGGAGGCACGTTTAATTTATGGCGACCTGTTGTCCGAGAAATGTGCGCTATTACCGTTTGCTCGGAGGCATTCCGCCGCCAAACGATTACCCGGTGCACATGCCGTGGCATTTAACACGGCCATTTAACAAGAATTAATATCCTTTTAACCCTTCGTAACCGCCAGAACACGTAATACTGCCGTCATATACCTTAAACGATAAATCGTCACCCTCCGTCCTCTCACATCAGCAAAAAACAATCAAGTGAGCTCAATTCAAAAGCCGCGCGCGACGACTCCGATAAACCGACCAAGGTCCAGTTTCGTTCACTTTTTAGAAATTTTCATTCTAAAAAAAGATATTATGAAAACGGCGTAAATTCAATTTGATTTGTATAAATAATGATTAATTTGTTGCCGTTTTATTGTTTCCACTTTCTTTTAAAACCAACACTTGTTTATGAATGTCTTTTGAAATGAAAATAAACATCAAGTGGCTTGCCATAAAAACAATATTGATGTACTCTCCAGAAAGTATTGTCATGAAAAGGGTCTTTACGTTTCTTTAGGTGGTAGTTCTCAATGGTTTTAAACTTGTGTTTTTTTATTTAATACAACAAAATATAATATCAACGGAGATTTTGTAAATGTCCCGTGCCATCGTTTACAATTGAACCACTAAAATTACTTAAATTTAACTATTATTAGTATTTCATAATGTATATTTAAGTATTTTCACGCCTTCAGTTAGCTAATTATAATACCAAGTTAAGATTAAAAAAAGGTTATTTCGATAACAATTAATTCATGTCGAAAAAAACTACGTTTTTGATTTTTCACCAAAAGTGAGTACTTCACGTTATAAAATAATTGAATCCATTTTTAAATTTGTAATGAAACGTTCATTGTGTTTGGCGGGTTTTTGATTGTAAAAAGGAAATAAGATAAATCGTTAAAGTATTTGTTAGAACGTGACGATCTAAAAGCGAAAAAATAGTATTTTTAAAATTTAATTTGTATCACGAAATTCCGTTTAGATTACCTTGGGAACCGACTAGTTTTTTTTTAATTAAAATAAATCTAACTTGGACGGTTCTTAAAAAATAAGTTGAAGTTATTAGAAATTTATATTGTTTCTTAAATGTAGTTCAATTAAGCATTCAATCGTTTCTATTATTATGATCATTGAATTTAGTTTTTAATTACTTAAAAATTGATCGGAAGTAATTATTTTGTACTCTAAGCACATGATTTTTCTTCATTGTATAGAACAGAAAAACGTATTAATAATGTCTTTAATTTTTTCATTTGCGATGACGTTCATACAATGACATTAATATTCCATTGTTGGATACATTTCACTGAAAAAAAACGTCGATTCAATGTGGCTTTTTAAACAAAATTAAATATCCAAGTGGGTTCGATGTTAAAAAAAGTTACTTTCGGTAAGATTATTAAAAATATCACCGTCAGCATTGTATAAGAACAGAAACGAAAGGAAGTGGACGTAATGAAGATAGAAGAGTTTGTTAAATTGTGAATATTTCATTTGACAAGTCTAATTCGTAAGGGCACACGAATTTATGAGAATTAATCGATTTACTAGTTCAGACTAAACATTTTAATAGAAATGATCTTTTCGGCGAAGTAATTATAAATTTATGTTTCTTTCAAAAGTTTTTTCCGTAGCTCGAGCTAATTATTTTGTTTTTATTTGTTCATAGCTACGGATAGGAACTCAATTATTTATCTATTGTTATTCGTACAATATTACTTAACCAACTAATTCCATAAAAAGTCTATAATAAAAAAAGCTATTCGATATGACAGTAAATAGAGACTACATAATTAAGCGACTACGAATTGGGGAACTGATGAAACGCCTTGAATTCAGTACAAAGGTCGCATGTTATTAAATATGAATGTGAAAATCAAACGATTCGATTCAATTCGTAAATATTTCAACTGTATTAAAATAAAACACTTTATTGACTCGTACTCGGATACGTTTGACGATTTAGACGCTTTATTAAATGTTAATGGTATCTGGTGAAATGTTAATTTGAATGCGCCGACGGAATCTTTGAAATAAACTCAATAGGCCAAAGTTCGTCATTGTTGGTGCGTAATGGCGTCGGAATAAAGTCGGGCAATAAAAAAACGCTTTATCAGTCCGTGAACGTGGAATGTGTGCGACACACCACAAGCTCTACACACCACCGCACGCACCAGTTGCTTCAGCTTATACAACGTGAGAAAATCGGCATATGGTCCACCCGGTTCATTAATCTTTCGTTTTATCCCATCTCGTGTTTACACTCTCATCCGGCGCCCTTTGTGCTCCTTTCCTCGGCGCGCCTTTCACCGAAACNTACTCCTTTGCTCGGCGCGCCTTTCACCGAAACCCAACCCGCGACGAGACCCGCTTTTTTATTACCATTTTTTAAACCCGTCGTCGTCCGCGTCACGTCTTCTGCACACCGCCAGCGAAACGTGTACTCCGAACTCGAAAATGATGTGTCGTTTGTGACAATTCGAAAATCAACAGAGCCGTCGGGAGGTGGTCGCGAATTTTCAGTTGGTGCGACGCTTTTGTCAGGTCACGGACTCCGTTTTCCGACAATACATTTGACATTACGAACGCTTTTCACGAAATTGAAATAGAACGGAAAAATAACTTTTTATTGTTATTTGTTCGGTGGGCGAATTCAGCGCGCAAACTACGACCTTTCATAAATTAATTAATCATCCCGAGCTTTTCATCAACTCGGTATTGTCATTTGGCCTCTGGTTTTTTCGCAGACATTATTGGACGCCATTAAATCATCAGCGTCTACAGCGAACCGATTTTGTTTTCGAAGTAAAAGGGCTCGCACATTAACAACATTAAGAACGTTGTTCTAATAATATATTCGCCGTTTTTTTACTACCCTAAAACATGCATTTCGGTTACGGCGGTTCCCGTGGAATTATCTACAGTTTATCGGACACGATTTTATGCGAACAAAGAATTAACTTAAACGGCCGGTTAACATAGGAAATCGTTTAACGATGATTAAAAACAAAGTGTTGGCAAATACCGTGCAACGCGATAGAGCTGAAATTTATTACTCGTATCGTGTGTAGCACACGCTTAATGTGCTTTTATTTATACAAAACTAATTCATTAGCTCTTGTTGAAATAGACGAACACCGCGAGTTCTTTTTGAAACGAATGACCCGCTTTTGTTTCATAACGTCGTATCAATTATTAAGAGCGATTTTAGCGAAAGCCATCGGTCGGTGTTCTTAGAGCTCATTAAAATTATATTGGATACAAAAATCCACGAGTTTCGAACACAAAGACCATTAATTAATGAGCGTTTTCAGTTATTATTCTCAACTATCGAAAGTTTTCCCTTGTTTTCCCAATGTTTAATTTATTACAAAAAAAAAAACTTTTTCCGCTCGTTTTATGAAAACGAGGTTTTGTTATTTTTATTATATCTCTCCGATAAATGGCCGAAAAAACATTTGAAAACGTACAATTTACAATTTATAGTAATTCCAATGGTTTTCAATACCGATAAATTTTTGGAAATTTTACTAGAACCATACGAGTCGGCAAAGTTTTTCTATATTTCAGAGTTAAACTATTAGAATTTTTTAATTAAAAGTTTTACAAAAGTTTTTTCGACGGACATGAAACTGAAAGTCGTGTGCGTATGTATTACGTGCGTTGGATTCGATCGCCAATTCGGCTGGGGCGATATTCGATCCTAATTTTATGTGCTTCTTTTTTATGTCCGTCGTGTCCCTAGGTTATTGCTTGGTGACATCTGGATAGCTCTGAACTGTCGACTATAAACGATTCCCTTTTTCACATATTGCTTTCTCAATCACAACTAAACGGTGCGGCGGTAGACTAATACACGAACAGCGGCATTTGTTCCGAATCGGTGAACTTATCTGCGGTTACGGACGTGTGGCATCCGACACTGTTGCAATGATCGGCCAATATAGAAGAATAAAAGAAATCCATCCGACATTTGTTGGTTATTAGGAAGCAACGTCCTGATCAATAACTGCACGGCCGTTTTTAGAAAGCGGTTGTCGCAATATATTCCGAAACGGGTGGCGAGTCGAGTTTTCTAAAAAATAAGTCACTCCGGTCCACAGCGAATTAAAAATGTCCCGCCGATATACCGTAATCCCGTTGGAAGTGTTCTAGAAAAATTTCACATAAGAACCTAGACGAGTTTAAAACAATAGTTAAATAGCGAATAAAACAATAGGTGTTGGGTAAATACATTTGGATTGTTTATCATATTGAACGTATTGAAAAACGGCGATGCTTTATTGTATTTTGAACGTGGACTCGAATTGATTCACATTATACTGGCTGGGTTTGTCTGGATAAAAAACGAGTATAAATAAAACCGTAATACCTAAACTTCTGATGTCTGTATATATGACACACCGCTGGTGCGCGTTCGGGCCGGGTACGGGTGAGAAACCCATCAAGTTTTGGACAGCGTAAGCTCCTTGGGCGTGTTGTTAAATTGTATTTTCTACGGTATATCAATTTATTGTTGCGTTTCGTTGACAAAAAATAACACCGAGATATGTGTTTTTTTACAGAACCCCAATAAAGACAGAAAGTAACGTATGGACGCGAAACTCGGCTCTCTCGAAAGTACATTACGGCGAAATACTTTACGGGAGAAATAAATTAAGAATAACAAACACGGGCATCGGATATAATAAAAAGAAAACATTGGCTTCGAACTGTGTTTACCGTATTTATCATTTATTTATCTAGCGGTTTGAAAACATATCGGAAATAATTGATGTTTGTTGAAATCGGCAGAACCGATCGAGTTTCCCCAGAAATGACGTACAAAAACAATCCGACGGATTACAATAGAATTACACATTTTGTATACTCACAAATTATAATGGACGTCTGCCATGTTCGGACGGTGTTTGAGTGCTGATCGATATGCGATTTCTGCCTCGTTCGTTCTGCCCTGGGAGCTGAGTATTGAACCGAGATTGCCGTAAGCTGAAATCCAATCAATGGTTAGGCCGAGCAAAGAAAAACAAAAGCAACGACCACATCTATCCAGTTTGATTAAATTAAAACTGACGAACGATACTGTGCCGGCGGCTGATTGACGGCACAACGGAACGCGAAATTAAAAACGCCGTGCAGCTTGCAAAATTAATGCACCGCCAACGTCCTGACATATTCAAAGTATTAAAAAAAAGTCTTCTCGCTAATACGACCTGTCCGTCAAGAAACGCATTACTTTTGTTATTCGCCAAAACAACCGAAAGCGTATGAAATATGCATTACAGTGTTTTTAATAATTTTCCATAAAACGCCGCGGCGTTTTCAAGGATTTACATTAATTTGCGTAATCACTAAAAATAGAATCCCGTAACTGGTTAATACCACATTGGAAATTTATTAAAATGCCGTACCAGGAACTCATGAGGCAACATCGTTAATATTTCACGCTGATTTCGTAACAAACATGAAAATCTACCACCAGGAATCTATGAGGTTTAATGTTTTCGGAGTAGCAAAAAGGTGTTGGGCGGCTAGTTGCTGTCGTTTTATTATAAAGCTGTGTAGTTGAGTGTCCTCTGTGCGTCTACGGCTAAATGACTTTACAAGTGTCGTTGGGACGCGCGACTGCACCGCAACGATGGGTCGTTTGTAAAATAAAACGTACACCATTGTACGGGACGAGTCGCACCGATTAATTGCCGGCACGGCATACGTCGATTAGTCGCTGCACCGAACCGCGGTACGGATAACGCACTTTTACATAAATTTCGCGACGAGGTCACAATATATCAATAGCAGCGCACCACGACAGCAACGACTGACATACCGATGATGTTTGTCATATAAAATTGCGAGTATTTATTTACAATGAAATTTCGTACCAGGAATTTATGTGGTATCGCGTGACGAGTTCAGATGTCCACCGTCTCGCTAACAATTTCGAGTGGCCACCAACATTATTCTATATGGCCGTCTGAATAATGATATGTTACATGTTAATGATTCTCATGAGTTCCTGATACTAAAATTTTTTGTTTTATCTTAAAATCCGCGTCGTTAAGAAGTCTTATGGCGATTTTACATAACGCAATAAATGCTATTTTCATAAAATTATCGTGTTGTTTAACTGAATTAAAGCAAACTACAGTAATGAAACATCGTACGAAAATGAAATTTATGTGAAACGGGTATTTTTTTTCATGGGATTTTTTCACCCTTGCCCAGTAGTAAACTATTTATAAAGTACTGAATTCTGTTCTGCCAAATAGTAATATTTGTCATGTAAAATTTGTATTTGTACTCGGTAAAAATATTAAAATTGACTTCATAATGGGGGAATTCATTTGAAATAAATAACTTTTCACTAAAAATGATAGTGTCTACTTAAATATCGAGTGGTAAAAGTATATGAATAAAAATGGCTAGATTTTTTAGTACGAACTTTTTCATTCAAATAAACATTTAATAATCTTTTGTCAAAGACTATGTTTTCGATGAAGTAATTATATTAAATTTAGCAAATTAAACGCATTGAAGCGATAACATTTGTTTTGCGTGTATATAATGTAAACGATGAATTTCATTTAACAATTTGTAGGAAGCTCACAAATTTATAGAAATACGTATGAACATGGCGTGGAATGTAATTTAAATACATTAGTTTTCTTTAAGGGTTGTATCAATAAACAAGTATAAGTTAACAAGCGTATAAGAAAACAAATAGCGTTAACTTGAATTTACATTCTTATGGAACTTTTACAAAGGGATCGTTGAAGTAAAATCGAAAATTACAGTTTTTTCGTTAATTATAAACGTAAGTAGAATCTCTAATGAAGGAAAAGTATAAACTAATAACTTCAACACATATAATGATGTTTTTTTTTTTTAAATTATACATTTGAGGTTTTTATTTAATTTGAGAATCCAAACAATTTTTTATAATTACGCGCTATTGCGATCTATTGCTAAAGTTAGTTAACTTCAACAAAAGAATATTAAACATAATGACTCATTTTGAAACAAGTATACATTTTAGTAAAAGAGGATGTTGCTTTGATATAAATTTAATTGAATAAATTAATGATTAAAACAGAATTGTATTTATGATAATTTATTCTCGAATCAATGCATTTTTAAACGCCTAAATACTATCAAAGTTTTCAACAAAAACATAATTATGTTGATGAAATATTCACGAGATCAAAGTGAAAAAGTTTTACGAAATAATGTAATGTTTTTTGATTGGATTAATTTTTTTCTCGTGAAAACTGTCAGTATATAACATCACTGCATTTTCCGGCAATTATGATCAATGCATTTTTACAAAGATAAATAACCAATAAAATAGCGAGTGAAATTGAAATATTCGAGTTTCTAGAAACTGATGAATTGTTTCAGATTTATGAAGCAATTCCATGTATATTATTAAAAAATGGATTTTTCACTATACTGGAAGAAATTCAAGTCGTTGTTTTGCGAACAGAATACTTTTAGCATAATGTTTATACTCACATTTGGGCGGATTCACTTGAATTCCTGATCTGTATAGAGTCTCATCGCTGTGCCAAACTCGGTTCCTGAGTATTGTGCGAACACTAAACCCGAGTACCATTGAAGCATAAAGAGCGTAGACGATTGCGTTCGTCACTTTACAACCTTTGCTTCTCAGCTTGTTGGACAAAACGGTGGCCGAATAACCGACGAGTAAACAGTAACCGACACTGGGTATGTAAAGTACTCTTTCGGCCACAACAAAACCCACGTAGAAGAATAAGTTGGACGCTGGCAAATAAGAAGCGACGGCAATAGCCAAAGCCACAGCAACGGGTTTCCGTTTGAACGCCACCCATCCGATAGACACCAAAGCGACGTAGAATAGCAGTGTGGCTACGTTTCTTGGGTCCGAAAGAGTTTCGATTCGAGGAACAGCGTCCATGGACCAATCGTAACTCAGCACCCGCGGAAAGAGCAGAAGATGAGTGTTGACCAGTGGAAGGTACAGAAAAGTCAACGTGCGCGCCAAAACGTTGGGATGCTTAGCCGTTGGGTTATCGGATGTCGCAAATGTAGGCACTGTACCGGACATGATACACATTCTTCCAACGACCATCAGGGCGGTACACGTAACTAAGATTTTCAGTGTTGATTTGTCTTGTTCAATCTAAATTTAAAAAAAATAAACAATCAAAGTTAGTGAAAATTTTTCATCAAATTTAGTTATTTTTACAATTCATTGTCAATCAAGAGAAATTGCAGTTGCTTTTAATCATCCAGTCATATAATTGACCTAACTTTTATTATTTTATTTCTATGGTACCGTTTTAAAACAGCTTAGAAGATATGAGTTTCATCAATTATTTTTCCGAGCAATTTCAACGTGACTTAACCTAATTTAGCATTGTTCAGGACTAATAAGAATTTTAGTAGTATTTCAGATTAGATTTTCTCAATTAAACTCATAACTCATTCATTTGAAATTGAACAAAACGTATTATTTTCACAACTAACGGCTCAAGCGATCATTTTTGTTTCCATAAAGTTTTCAATTGAATTACCCTTCTTTCTCCAAAAGTCCAGAAATTAAATGTATTGTATGAAATATTCCAAGAAGTCGTTTTTCCTGGTTGTTTTTAAATATCTCAAAACGTAAAATAACTTGATGATGTATTCAAACTTGACAATAAAAATATGTTCGCTTCATTCTGTGATATAATTGCGTGGATTTTTTGTATAAAATATACAACGTCAATTATAATGACTGAATTTTGACAGAAAAACGTACTAAATGTTAAATTCATAATAAAGTAAAAACGTTAAATACAATCTGAAGTAATTACTAATGTTCTTTAGTTTTTTTTTTTATTGCTTTCATAATATGTTGAACTTGAGGTGGTTCGGCGTCGTTTAGCGCTTTGTTCGCATTGACAGCGACACGTGTTTAATTTCACACTCAAGTCGTATGTATTATCTAATACTGTTTTGAGTGCACTTACCGTTATTACTTCCATTACAGTCGTTTTTAATGTATATCCTTTAAAGATGACTCTAATTCATCTCGAGAAACATCATAATCTTTATGACGTATAGCCAAAGTCATTATGAAAATGTATTGTAGACGAATACATCGGTTTAATAAAGATTAACAACTTCCCAATTTTGTCAATAAAATGTAATAGAAAATATTGTTTTTTAACAATTAAAATTAATTTGCTTAAGTCATTATCATAAATAAATAAAATTTAATATTTTCTTAACGTATTAAATCATTTTAATTAAAAATAAAATTGTTTATGAGCAATCTTAAAAAATAAAAAAACCTTAATTTTAAGAATACTTCGAAAAAAATATAAAAATTATTAGTTTGTTAAATCATGAATCAAAATTGTACGACTAAGCTAAATATAAAAATGAGTTAAATTATATGCTATCGATGGTATTAAATTGATTTTTATTATGCCATTTAATTTTGATTTCAGACATTTAACAAAAAAAAGGTAGTATGCACACGAAGTGAAAATGTATTCAAGTCGCTGTGGCAAAGCTCTTTTTAGTAAAAAATATCAAGAATAATCTAGAAATTCATCCAGGACGTAGACGTATTTAATAAAATATCACGAAAAACAAAATATGCATGTATATATATATATATTCAAAGAATACGAGGGAGAATATGAAAGACTCACGGCTTTATATCCGGAATTATTAAAATGACATTCTCTTGGGAACACACAAGCAGTATGGTCAAAGACGTTTTTATAAAGCAAAGTATTTGCAATTTTATAAAGAGTGTCTCTCGAGGCTTTATTAATTGAAATAACGCTTTTGAATGTAACTTAGGATATTTTTTTTTATTAGTTTACAGAACACTACTCATTTTTATAAATACTTTATGATAACGATAGAAAAATGTTTCCAGGTATTAAGAAAAAATATGAAAAATAAACTATTAAAATCGATAAATTTTTTGTAATAAGAAATTATAATTCGCTGACAACTAAGTAACTATGGAAAAAATTGTGTTTATATTTTAATTAATGAAATGGATTAAATAAATTTAATACAAAATATCAAGGCCAACATAAAAGGTGTGTGAAGTGTTTACAAAAGAAATAATTTACTAGAATAAAAATATTATTATTTTAATAAAAAAATGTTATAAATATCGCAAAATTATTTTGCACGAGGACACTCGATTTCTAGTGTTGGAATTTACCTTGCATTTATTAATTAAATTATGAAATATTTGTTAAATATCTTGTACAAGTGTATTATATGTTTCAATATATTTTTCTATGTATTTTTCATATTGCTTACCTAGTTTTAAGTAATCAGCTTGTACTACAGGGACAAATGTAATAAAATCTAGTTTTAGTTCACAAAAAATCAACGAAAAGTCTCTAGAAATTCTCAAATATTTCATATTGATTGTTCTGTTATACATTTACAATATTTATTTTTACTAAAGAAATGAAACTATTTACGGCTTACATTATAAAATTCTTTTTCAGCGTTCACTTTAGAAACTATGAATTTCATCGCTTTAGAATAAATCAGTACTAACAATTTTTTTTATTATTTCAAGAGAAAACTTTTAAGTAAAAAAATATTTTCTTGTTATAATTTTTTTAAACATTTCATTATTTAAACTGAAAAAAAAATGTAAAATGTTGCGAATTCGCAAAAATAAATATGTTGAAAAGCCATACAAATATAGATATTATGAAGCCATAGGAATACAAAATCATGAAGAAGCCATATAAATATAAAAATATTATGAAGCCATAGAAATACAAAAACGTGAAGAAGCCATATAAATATAAAAATATTATGAAGCCATAGAAATACAAAAACATGAAGAAGCCATATAAATATAAAAATATTATGAAGCCATAGAAATACAAAAACGTGGAGAAGCCATATAAATATAAAAATATTATGAAACCACAGGAATACAAAATCATCAAAAAGCCATAAGAATGCCATAAAGCCAATAATAGAAACAATAACAGTAGTGTCCAATGTTTGTAGAAGTGATTTCTTGTATTATTTAATGTAATCATACAATAATAATAATGTAGGTTAAAAACATCTTGATAAATAAAGAAGTTTACTCTAATTTTTTTCAGTAACTAGTATGTTATTACCAACAATTTTCTAATTGGTAGAATAGTGTGGCGCAATACAAAATGAAAAATTTTTCTCCTATCAGTGATATTTTAAACTTCTTAAGGATTTTATTTTTACTAAATCAAAATTAATTGTTCAAGGGAACAATTAAAGAAATCAAAAAAAAAAAAAAAAATATATATATAATAGTCTCTCTTGTTGGTGAGAGACAAGTGACCCGTAAACATGTAGTAGGTGTAGTGTAGTAGGTTTCTTGTTCCTTGTTATTAAACTAATTCAGATAACTACACGCATTACCGCGTTTTAATCAAATGTTATTTCGCAAAGCTGTTTATTTAGTTACGCAACGTCGCGTTAAACGCAGAAAATACATATCACGCAATTTTAGGTAACATTGTTGTGATCCATTTATAACAACTGGCCAAACAAAGTGGTATTTGAGTTAATTTAGATTATTTTTTAAGTGTTGATCATTAAAAAAATAGTATTGATCCATACATTTTTAAAAAATGTATAGCATTATAAAGTTAAAAATATAAAAAAGAATTTTTTTACAAAAATTGTATTTATTTTATTAACGATGATGTCTATTTTCACCATAAAAACTAAAAAGGGTCCGAAATTTGTTTTGTCATATTAAATTATATTACAATAGCTTTAATTTAAGATAAATATAAAAATGTCAGTATTTTCGAAACATTTTCAAAAATAAAGTCGAAAAAGTTCTCTTTTCTATATGCATTTTTAAGTTTTGAACACTCCTGTATAAAGGGAAATGGTCCGATTTAGACAAATATATATGTCGAATGAAAGAGGTATATAAATAGTATTTCTCATAAAAAAATTGTATTGATCCATACATTTTTCAAAAAAGTTATAGAAATATTAAATTAAAAATATGAAATATGAAATCGAGAATTTTATCTCAAAAATAGCATACGGTATTCATTTTTACCGTAAAGACAAAATAAAGTCAGTAATTTTTTTTTTTATAATAAAGTATATTACATTAAATTTAATTTAAGTTGTATATAAAAGTATCAGTATTTCCAGTAGTTGTCATTTTGAATCTTTCCCTGTGGGCAGGTTATGGGTCAAAGTTATAAAAAAAATATACAGAATGTTAGGTAAATACCTCATGTATTTATAAAAAAAAATGATATTTTATTTGGTCATTTTTAAAAACGTTATGGCAATTTTAAGTAAAAAAATTGAAACAATGTCGAAAATTAGTGATTTTTAAACTTGTAATAGTTTTGAAGATTTCCCCCATTTATGGGGAAAGAGGGGCATTTTTTCAATTATTGAGGGTAATGTCTTCGACTAGATACGATTTGTGATCTTTTGACGTATCGTTGAAAAAATGGTAACAGACGTAAAAAAAATAAAAAATACACATCATAGTAAAATGAATACCTTTTCAGCTTTGTATCAAATCTAATATATTATAAACCTAATTTATAGTATATCTGATTAAAAATAAAATAATTTTTGCTTTAAGCCACTAGTATTCTATACAAAATATTATAAAAAATAAAAAAAGTATATTTTTAAAAATTATAATTACCAATACAACAAATGGAGAAATAATATTGCGGTGCCGTTATTATGATATTTTATATATATAAAGGAGACATATAAGAGTGTGGAAATTATAGAGGTACAAAGTTTATTATGAGTCATAGTATGAAGATTTGGGAAAAGGTAATAGACAAAAAAATAAGAGGAGAAACATCAGTACAAGAGAGGTACCGCAATGCATGTTGTTCACTAAAGATATAGTGTTAATAGTAGAAATTAAGGAAAAAATTAATCAACGGGCTAAAGGTATTGAAGAGCTCTTAAAGGAGAGGGATTAAGAATAAGGAGTAAGTGAGAGTATATAGAGTACGAGTTTAACAAAAGAGAACTCGATGTGGATGAAATGAGGAAATCAGTAACAATAAGACAATACGTGATAAGAGAGATAGAAAGTATTAAGTATTTAGGATCCGCTGTGAAAAAATATCATGGCATTGACGAGGATATAAGTTA